CACCTTTGTGGAAAATTAACTGACTCTATAAGCATGGGTCTGTTTTACAGAAGAACCTGCTGGCTCCCAATTTTCATTGGGATTGGATTGAGTCTTTAAAATAATTTGGTTAATTTGGCAAGTGTGATAGGCTAAATCATGGCCCTCAAAGATATGCACTTCCATGGAACCTGTTAAAGATCTTGAGATGATGGGGTTATCAAAGTGGGCAGTAAATGCAGTCAATCACAGGTCTTATAAGAGGGAGATAATATTAAGAGGAGAAGGCAGTGTGATGGAAGCAGAGAGAGATTGGAAGATTTTATGCTGCTGATTTTGATGATAGAGGAAGGGGCCATGAGCCAGGGGAATACAGCTCTAGAAACTGGACAAAAGAAGTAATAGATTCTCCCTTAAAATCTCCAGAAGGAGTAAGTACTGCTGATATCTTGATTTTAGTCCATTGAAACCCTTTTTGGACCTCTGGCCTCAGGATAATAAATGTGTGCTATTTTAAGTCACCAGTTTTGGGGTAGCTTGTTACAGCACCCATAGGAAACTAATACATGGAGGATGTAAATCTTAACAGTATTGAGTGTTCTAATCTATAAACACAGTATATTTCTCCATTTATTTAGATTTTTAATTTTTCTTGGTAGTTGTGAACTGAATGCCTCCCCTCAAAAATCACAAATTGATTATAATCCCCAATATGATGGTATTTGGAGGCGGGACATTGGGAGGTGATTAGGTTGTGAGGGTGGAGCCCTCATGATTGAAACTAGTGCCTTTATAAGAAGAGAACAGAGAGCTAGCTCACTCTCTTTTCACCATGTGAAGGGTATGAGAAGTCTGCCTTCTGCCACCCAGAAGACAACCCTTCCCAGAACCCAGCCGTGCTGGCATCCTGATCTCCAACTTCCAGCCTCTGGAACTGTGAGGAATAAATTTCTGTTGTTTATAACTTCCCCACAGTCCTACCAGTGTTTGGTAGGTTTCAGTATATAGGTTTTGCATGTATGTTGTTAGATTTATCCCTAAATGTTTTATATTTGTGATGTTATTTATAAGTGGTGGATTTTTCATAAACTTTTAATTTTTGAATAGTTTTAAATTTATAGGAAAGTTGCAGTAAATGATATATATTTTTAAATTTCTGTTTTCAGTTTGTCATACCTAATATATAGAAGAAATGCATTAATTTTTGTACTTTTATCTTGTATACTTCAATTTTATTAAATTCACGTATTAGGTCTACTAGTTCTTTTGTAAATTCCTTAGGATTCCCTACACAGAAAATCATGTTGTTTGTAGATAATGGCAGGTTTACTTCTTTCTTTCAAAACTGTATTCTTTTGATTTCTTTTTATTATGTTATTGTTGTGGCTAGGACCTTTAGTACAATGTTGAATAGATAAGTTGAAGTGGACATACTTGCTGTGTTTCCTGTCTTAAGGGGAAAGTATTGCTTCTCTCACCATTAAGCATTTTAACTATAGGTTTTTCATAGATGCTTCTCTATTCCTAATTTCTTTAGAACTTTTATCTTGAATAGGTAGCAAATTATGTCAAATGCTTTTTACACAGCTATTGAGATGATCATGTGATTTTTCTTTTTCAGCCTACTAATACCACGAAGGATGTTAACTGATTTTCAGATCTTAATCCAAGATTGTGATCTTGCAATCCTAGCTAAACCACATTTAGTCTTAATATAGTATCCCTATATATTGCTGAATTCAATTGGCTAAAGTCTTTTGAGGATTTTTACATCTCTGTTCATGAGAGATATTGGTCTGTAGTTTTCTTTCTTGGTCAGGTTTTGGTATCAGGGTAATGCTGGCTTCCTAAAATAAATTGGGAAATGTTCCCGCCTCATCTTTTTTGCAAGAGTTTGTGAAGAATTGGTGCTATTTCGTCCTTAAATGTTTGGTAGATTTTGCCAGGGCCTAACATTTTCTTTGTGAAAAGGGTTTTAACTAGAATTGCAGTTTCCTTGTCTTTGTTTCAAGAAATTTACTGGCATAAAGTTGTTTATAATATCCCCTACTTATCCCTTTAGTATTTTTAGAATTTGTAGTGATATCCATGCTGTCATTCTTGATATTAGTAATTTGAGCCTACTTTTTTTACTGATTACTCTGGCTCTAAATTTACCAATTTTCTTATTTTCTCAAAGAAATTGCTTTTAGTTGTATTGATTTTTTTTCTCTAATGCCTTTTTACTACATTTTATTGATTTATATGCTTATATTTATCATTTTCTTCCTTCTGTTTGCTTTTTAAAATTTTTCTTCCCTTTCTAGTTTCGTAAGATAGAATCTTAGAAACTTGAGATCTTTCCTAATGTAAGTATTTGATGCTATAATTTCCCTTAAGTACTGGTTTAGTGTATCTCACAAATTTTGGCATATTGTGTTTTTGCTTTTGATTAATTCAAAATATTTTTTAAATTTTCTTCGTGGTCTTTGACCTATGGATTATTTAGCAGTATGGCATTTAATTTTCAAATATTTTGAGAATTTTCTAGATATTTTTCTATTGTTGATTTCTAGTTTGACTCCATTGTGCTTATTTACTTTGTATGATTTCAGTCCTTTTAAATTTGTTAAGCCTTGTTTTATGGCCCAGAATTCAATCTGTCCTGGTAAATGTTCCACGTGTGTTTGAAAGGAATCTGTATTTTGCTTGTGTTGGGAGAAACTCATTAATATTAATTAGGTCAAGTTGGTTGATAGTGTTGCTACAATCATATATATCCTTAGTAATTTTCTGTGTATGTTCTATTACTGAGAAAGTAATGTTAATTTCCATTTATGACAGTTCGATTTTTTTATTTCTCCTTTTAGATTGATCAGTATTTTCTACATATATTGTGAAACTTTGTTATTAGGCATATAAACATTTATGAGTGTTAGATCTTCTTGACAAATTGACCCCTTTATCATTATGAACTAATTCTGTTTGTCCCTGGAAATAGCCCTTGATCAAAAACATACTGTGTCTTACGGTACGGTAGGCAGAATGCCCCACCCCCACAGATATCCAGGCCCTAAGCCCTGAAACCTGTGAATATCTTATTTTACATGGCAAAGGGGACTTTGAAGATATATTTATTAGCATGAGTTTCTGTTGTTACCATGACAAATTATTAAAACTACTGAAGCTTATTGTCTCTTAGTTCTTTAGGTCCGGGTACAGCATGACTCAAATGGGTGTTTTGCCTAATTTCACAAGATCAAAATCAAAGTGTTAGGACTGTTGTATTGCTTTCTGGAGGCTACAGGGATTAATCTGCTTTCAAGCTCATTTGGGCTCGTGTCAAAATTTAGTTCCTTGGGGTTGTAGGGCTGAGGTCTCCTTTTCCTTGCTGGCTGTCAGCTGTGAGTTATTCTCACATTCTAAAGCTTGCCTGCATTCCTTGGCTCATGGTTCCTTACCTCCATGTTCAAAGCCAGAAGTGACAGACTGAATCATTCTCAAGTCTGGAATCTCTCTGACTTCTGCTTCATCTCTTCCACCACATTTCTCCAACTTAACTCTTTTGTTTTCTTATTTTAAGGGCTCATGTGATTATACTGGGCCCACCTGGAGGGGCCTATTTGCAAGAGCCCAACAGAGGCCCCTAGTATCTAAGGTCAGCTGCCAGGTGACAGCAAGCAAAGAAATAGGTACTCTAGTCCTACAACCACAAGAAACTGGATCCTGCCAACAACATGAATGAGCTTAGAAGTGGATTTTGCCAGAGTCCCCTGATAAGCATTCTACCAACAGACACCTTGATTTCAGCCTTGTGAGATTCCAAATAGAGAAACCAACCAAACCCATCTGGCCTTCTGTTATATAGAACTGTGAGATAATAAATTTACATTGTTTTAAGCTGCTAAGCTTGTGGTAATTTGTTACAGCAGCAATGGAAGACTAAACAAATGTTAATATAGTCATTCCATCTTTCTTTTGGTTAGTGTTTATTTGGTCTAACTTTTTCTTTCTTTTTGATTTTAATCTGTCTGTGACTTTATAGATAGATAAAGTGGGATTCTTATAGATGGCATATAGTTGTCTTGCTTATTTATCCAATCTGATCATCTTTGTCTTTCAATTGGTATTTAGGCCATTATATTTAATATAGTTATTGATAGGGGTGAGTTTTAACTACTGTCTTGCTTCAGCCTGGAAACTGCCTCTAATCCACAAACTGGGGCAATAGTAGGTTTTACTTCCTTTGTTTCCTCCCTCTCACCTGTTCTCCACTGCGTGTTGTCAATGTATGAAAACTGTTCTTTTGTAGACTGTATCCAAGTTTCTTATTTAGGTGGGAAGGTAAATTATATTCCTATTATTATATCAAGGCTGGAAATAGAAGTCCTCAAGAGTGTAATTTCCAGTTAATATTTCAAGGACATCCTCTGTAGCAATTCCCTTTTATATGGGATGAGCATGTGTGTATGTGTAACTTATTCAGTTATGGAAAATATAATACATATACTAAAATGTTCATGCCATATGAATATGACAGATGGCTCCCTTTTTAGAAATATAATCAGCCAGTGACAGAACTTGACCATATTCTGAGCATGTCAGCCTTTTCCAGTCTCTGTGTCTTGGTATAGCTAGTTCCTTCTGCCTGAAATACTTCCTCATCTTACTTCCTTTCCCACTGGCAGCTTTCTACTTGCCCTCTGGAACCAGCTCCAGGGTCATCACCTCTCTGTTTCTGAGTGCCTCAGACACAATCTGTATTTCCTCTTCCAAGCTCTTATCACAAACATCATGCTGTATTATATGTTTCTGTGTGGACTTCCTTTTATGAGGAAGCCTTGGAAAGCAGGAGACTTATTTTAGTCTTCTTTATGTTTCTTTTATTCCTAACACATTATGTCTACCCCATAGACCTTTTCAATACATGGTCGTTGAGTTAGTGACTCCTTTTACATGCTGACAGATGTTGCTCTTATTACTCCCCATTTCAGTATCACATGTTTGTAAAAGTGAATCCTCTGATTCTCCTTTTCTCCTAGTAAATTCCTCATCTATGCCTGTCTGCTGCTGTTCTCTGTGCTGCTGGCCCTTCGTTTGGATGGCATCATACAGTGGAGTTACTGGGCTGTCTTTGCTCCAATATGGCTGTGGAAGTTAATGGTCATTGTTGGAGCCTCAGTTGGAACTGGAGTCTGGGCACGAAATCCTCAATATCGGTAATACTGCTTTATAAAACCCATTGGTCACTATCATGAGGGAGCAATATCTTGACTTTTCTCACTTTTGATGAAGTAAGGACCATTTTATTTTCTACCTATCTGGGGTGTTAGAACTATAGTTTAAGCTAACAAATCTCTTCTGTGTTTTTGAAATTTTGGTGTTGGGTATGTATTTTCTTACAAAAGCAGTACCATTTGGGGGTAATTAAGTTGCCAGCCAGCTTACAAATACCTGTATAATCCAAAATGCACCCCAAATACGGAACTGGTATGCCATACTAGACTAAGTAGCATGAAACCGCCGTCTTTAGGCGAAGACACTCATATTATGTTTGCTCATGAAAGATCTTTCTCCAGCTCAAATTTTGGAAATGGGACTCCCCTGTGCCACCCTCCTAGCCCCAGAGCTTGAGGACTGTTATCAGTGTGGGGAGGTGTCTTAGCCAGGAGACCATGAGTCCCTGAGACAGCAGCTGGGGAATGAGGAAAGTTGAGGGCTGGATGCTAAGAAGGAAAGCAGAGCCTTTGGGGGCAGTAGAGAGGGGTACCCTTTACCATTTCCAACTTTTGCTCTCCCTGCTCTTGGATGCCTCAGCTGACCCAAATTCCTGGGAGTTGGCTCACTCCAGCATGCAGCCTGGTGTTTCTGGGACCTGTGAGAGGCTTTCCCTTCTCTGCCACAGAGACTGTCACTACATAAAGGAAAAATGGGGGATTTAAGAGTGAGAGGCTATTATGAACCTTCACTAGGAAGATGAGGAGTAAAGGAATTCCCAATAGGCAGCTGCTCATGTGGGAAAAGTGTAAAGTTGAAACTACCTCAACTTTTTTTTTTTTTTGAGATGGAGTTTTGATCTTGTTGCCCAGGCTGGAGTGCAACGGCATGATCTTGGCTCACTGCAACCTCCACGTCCTGGGTTCAAGTGATTCTCCTGCCTCAGCCTCCTGAGTAGCTGGGATTACAGGCGCCTGCCACAACTCCTGGCTAATTTTTTGTATTTTTAGTAGAGATAGGGTTTCACCATGCCAGGCTGGTTTCAAACTCCTAACCTCAGGTGATCCACCTGCCTTGGCCTCCCAAAGTGCTGGGATTATAGGCATAAGCCACCATGCCCCGCCACTACCTCAACTCTTTAAATTCTTGTTTACTAACTCTAAGATTCAGATTGTGTAAGTTACATATCACATACATATCTAAGAGCTGTAAAACAGTTACACAGAGAGCTTTGGCAGGTGGGAGACATTCATGTATAGCTGTTTCAAAGTTCTTAGATTTTTTTTTTTTTGAAAGATTGATGACCTGTGTGGCTGTATATGCTTTCTTTTTTATGAGATATTTTCAGATATCTAATGTTTGCTTCTCAAAGAATGAAAAGTTAAACATTTAGGTTCTACTAATTGATATTTAGAATATACTCAAACTTCTCTTTGTTGGTTTTATTTAAGATGTTTTGAGCAAGGAAAGAATTATTTATTTGGTGTTGAATGTGAGGAATGTATGGGTGTGGTCATTCTTATGTTAACATTAACCCGTGGAACACGCTTGAGTCCTACAGGAATAAGCTTTGATAGCATTATCTCTATGATCTAACCTCTGGTGTATTTATCACCCTCAAGACATGTATATCATAAATGTTTCTCTATATTTAGAATAAACATTGTAGGCCTTTCAAATGCATTATAGAGCCTTTTCCTGATTGGTGGGCTTACCATTGCTCAATTATAGATCCATTTAGGTTATTACACATGATATTAGCTAATTAAACTGATTTTGTTTGAGAACAGTTTTAACTCTTCTTTTTCTTTCTCTTTGATCTGCAGGTATTAATTTATCTTAATGGAATAGAAAGAAAAATAAAAATCATTTATACTTTTTATTTACATTTAAGAATAGCACCTAACAATAGTTACTATATCTTGTTGAAATATAACTGACACTTGTTCATAGAACTAGTTATTTTTATAATATTGTGTGAAGTGTGGTTTACGTGGTGTTTAATTCATTGAAAAATAAAGATCATGAGACTTAAGGGGTATTTGTCTGGTTTTAGCAGTAGAAGCAATCAGCTTGAATAATCTTGGAAGTAACTCTTGTTGAATTTAAAGATGTGAATAGAAGTTTTTATGTACATTGTCAGGGAAATAATAACTGGTTATTTCTTTTGAGAATATCCTTGTACAGTTAAAACATTAACGCCTGGTTTTGTTGTAATGTTCATTTCTTTTCTTTAAGTTATTCATATTTTATTGTGTAGGATTTTTTTTTAATTGTACTTTAGGTTTTGGGGTACATGTGCAGATCATGCAGGATTGTTGCATAGGTACACATATGGCAATGTGGTTTGCTGCCTCCATCCCCCCATCACCTACATCTGGCATTTCTCCCCATGTTATCCTTCCCTGACCTCTGTAGTAGTTCTTCAGTGTTTCAGAGATTGCCTATCAAAGCTTACATTTAAGTTAGCCTTCTACCCGATTTCCCTTTGCTTTTGTCGAATTTACAAGCAAAATTCAAAGTATCAACATAAGTTGGTATTTGCCCTGAACTGCTTGCTTATAATGGAGGTTCTGAACTGAGGGTGTTTTCTTCTTCTCTCCCTTTTTAGAGCAGAAGGAGAAACATGTGTGGAGTTTAAAGCCATGTTGATTGCAGTAGGCATCCACTTGCTCTTGTTGATGTTTGAAGTTCTGGTCTGTGACAGAATCGAGAGGGGAAGCCATTTCTGGCTCCTGGTCTTCATGCCACTGTTCTTCGTTTCCCCGGTGTCTGTTGCAGCTTGTGTTTGGGGCTTTCGACATGACAGGTCACTAGAGGTGAGATTTCATATATTTAAGAATGTTTTCCATTTTGGGAGTCCAAGGTGGGTGGATCACTTGAGGTCAGGAGTTCAAGACCAGCCTGGCCAACATGGTGAAACCCCATCTCTGCTAATAATGCAAAAATTAGCTGGGTGTGGTGCCATATGCCTATAATCCCAGCTTCTCAGGAGGCTAAGGTGGGAGAATCACTTGAACGCAGGAGGTGGAGGTTGCAGTGAACCTAGATTGTACCATTGTACTCCAGCCTGGGTGACAGAGCAAAACTGTCTCCAAAAAAAAAAAGAGAATGTTTTCAAAAGTAAAATCTTTTGCTCAGTTATTCAGATGTTAATTTCTTACTCTTTGTTAGGAAGAGCTTGAACATTAACAGCTCTAAATCATGAGACAGTAAGCCAACAAAAGACAATGGAAATAATCATTTTTCTTTCTTCACTTAGAACATTGGCTTTTCACCCAAGACATCAGCCTTCTCCCAGCTTCACATCCTGTATCAATCAGACAGAAACAGAACTAATAGGTTAGTTACAGATATACATATAAAGAGAGTTAAGGAACTGGCTCACATTATTGTGGGGCTGACAAGTCTGAAATCTGCCGGGCAGGTGGACAGGCCGGAGACCCAGGAGGAGTTGATGCTGCAATCCTGGCACAGAATTTCTTCATCTCCAGGAAACCACAGTTTTTGCTTTTAAGGCCATCACCTGATTTCATGAGCCCTCCCCCCATGCTATGGAGGGTAGTCTTCTTTATTCAAAGTCAGTAACTTCACTGCAACACCAAACTTAGTGTTTGATTAAATAACTGGGTACTATAGCCCAGCCATTTGACACTCAAAACTGACCATCTTCCAACCCCAGACCCCATGATTTAGCACCTCCCCTGCTCTCTGGTTATATCCTGATGTTTGTTTATTTATTCAATAAACATTTATCAAGTATTTACTATATGCCAAGCCCTTTTCCTCTAATCATAGGGGATATGCAGATGAATAGCATACCAAGACTAGTAATACTAGTAATGAAAATAATTGCAGATAACGTTTATTGAGCACTTACTGTGTGCCAGGCATTGGGTGAGGCACCTCACATGCAATATTCACAACCCGTGAGGTAATACAGAGAAGGTAAGTCATTTGTTCATGGCTGCATGGGAAGGGGCAGGATGAGGATTTCATTTCAGTCAGCCCAAGTCTAAAGCCCAGGCACATAACTACATAACTGCACAAAAGCTGAGGACCCAAAGCTGACTCCTGATGCGTGGAGGGGAGAACTATGGACAAAGAGTGAAGGAAGAAGACTGCAGTTGGCTTAGGAAGTAAACATAGCAGCTATGGGTCAGGCATACAAACTCGGACCCCAGGTCTGGGCATGGGGGAAAGGTATCTAGACAGAGGGACAATGATGGAACAAGGCCCCGTGGGACTCAGAGGGACAATGGGACCCAGAGCACCAGGAAGGGTTTGGCCTTGAACAGAGGGAGCTATTCCCTGATTCTCATGCTGGTGGAAAGGCCACAGCATGGGTGTGACTGGTAGGTAGGAGTGGGCTATGGAGGGAGAGTGTCTGATGGTCCACTTTCACCTTCCCTGCAATTCCCATTTTATATCAGGGACTTGAGTATCTGTGGATTTTGGTATCTATGGGCAGTCCTGGAACCAGTCCCCCACAGATACTGAGGGAAAACTATACAAGGGCTAGGACTGCATTGGGCCTGAATTATAGAAAGTAAGTCTTTCACATATTCACACTTGGCATTCCTACCCTTGGAAGAAACCACATACCAGAAGTGAGCTCTCTCTTCCTGTTAACACAAGAACAAGTACCTATGTTGGTGAGGGGGTGGTTGGGAGTAGGCTCATACAGAGATGGGAAGGTGATCTTCCAAGGAGCCCTGTGTTGGGAGGGAAGGGATGGCATTTTGAGGACATGCGGAAGCCTAGAGGCCAGAGACACTCCATCAGCTTAGTGGACTGTGGCAGTTCAGATATGACAGGAGCATAAGGTGGAAAGGAAGGAACTGTGGGAGTTGAGAAGAAAGGGCGCCTCTACAGAGGGATTGGGTCGAATAGGGGCCACATCCTCAGCCCACAGAGCCTGCGCTGAAGTGCCCCAGGCACCCCACTGCACTCACAGGGCACCAAGGGATAGTGGATATTTTGAGGAAAACAGTTAATACCTGACATTTGTTGAGACATCATACAAACTACTAGCTTGAAATGGTTTACAGGTTTATTTTTAGGCCACATTACATTCCTTTCAGTGACATCATATCTTTAAGAAGCTGGGTTTTTGGCAGTTGTTGTGAAAAAGAAAAAGGCCAGTGCTGTGTGAAAATTCAGGTGAAAAACAGGCAACAAGAGTGGGAGTGCCTTGTCTGATTCTAAGGTGTGAGAAATGGTGAGCCACCTGACAGGCACACGCATCCAACTGGGAATTAGTTTTGGTTATTTAAAATAAACATTTTTCTTTAGTTTTACATGAATTATTTTTTCAAATGGCTACTTAGGACAGAAATACTAAGTTAGACGTAATTACTTAAATCAGTGCAACTGTTGACATTTCCAGCCATATTAGGGATTTCTTTTGGCCTACAGGTTTACGGAGGAATTATGAAGTTCCCTATGTACCTGTGTACTGAAAACTTTTGGGAAGCTCTGGGCCCAGTCTTAGATTTTGATTCTGTGGACAGAATGTGTTTTACCAGAGTGAGGAGCAGCCTGCAGAGCATTTGGGCTGGAGGTGAGAGGTTAATAAGGGAGTTGCCAAAGTGATAGGGGGATGATGAGGAAGAACACCTCACTTGGCAGTCATCAGATAGAAAGTGGGCACGGGATTCAAGAGAGTCTGGATGGTACAGTGGACAGGGTGTGGTGACAGAACTCGAGAGCATGGGAAAAAGAATAGAGAGTGATTCCCAGGCCCATGGCTTGAGAAATGAGACCACTGTTGGGCCTCAAAATGACGTGGGAGGCTACAGAAAGAGGAGAGACAAGGTTCTAAGGTGCAGGGGATAATGATCTCTATTTGGGACTGGCTTCATTTGAGGTGCCTCTAGGAGAGCCAAGTGGCCTATGTACAGCTGTGTCTGCTACACAGCGGGAAGGCTAAATTGGAGACAGATGTGAGAACTAACCACTAAGGAAGTAATACAAGCCAACGGTCTGGTTGAAATTTCTTTTCCCTCAGTCCAGGGTACAATGGGTGAGTGAAAGTATGTGTGTTTGTGTGTCTGTCTCCCTGAGGGGGGAGAGAAGACTGAGTTCGTGGCTCTGGGGAACATCACCATTTAAAGAGGGGGAAAAGGAGACAGAAGGAATTACCAGAGCACTCCAGAGGGCTCTAAGACTGCATGGTGGGATTCTAGAAGGCCAGGAGGAGGGGTAGCGAACATGAAAGAGTCATCCACAATATCAGTAGGATGCCGGTTGAAGTGTTTTTGCTGCCTCCAGGTTATTGGTGACTTTGATGAGAGCTGTTTTCTGGTGGTCATGGGGGTGGAGGGCAGATCACAATGGAGGAAGCTGGGAATGGTAGATGAGATAGTAGGGGCTTATATATTCATTACTGTCTCACGTAAAGAAACCTGAGGCTAAGAAAGGTCTTGGATCAAAGGAAGGGGTGGGTTTATTTGGTTTGGGGGTTTTTGTTTTTAATGAGAAGGAGTTAACTTGTTTCTGTGCTGCTAAAAGGTATCAATGGAATGGGTGGGGTTAAACATACAGTAAAGAATCTATAATTGATGGCTGGATGTAACAGGGTCCTCAAGGAGCCTGAAAGGAAGAGGTGCAATTCAAGGGCAAATCTGAGGTATGAGAAGAAGGACATACAAGATGGTTTTGAGTAGACAATATTGTTGAAAGGGGCATGAAGGAAGCTTAGTGGTCTACTGCACTTAGCCTGTGTTTCCAGTGAACCTGGAAACAAGGTTCTCGTCTGTGCTTAGGCCTCGGGCCAGAAAAGGCAAGACAGCAGAGGGACAAGGCAGCAGGCCGAGCCATAGTTCCCCTTGCCTTAGTATTGCTGTGCCCATCTGGTACCAAAAATTAGGAGTTTCCAGTGCAACATCATATTATACAAGTTACACTGTATTATAATGTGTATTGTCTTTTAGTGTGTTAACCAAATTATTGCAGTATTAAATGCAAATTATATTTTGTTTAACTGATTCTTCTCTTCATTTTTAGTTAGAAATCCTGTGTTCTGTCAACATTCTCCAGTTTATATTCATTGCCTTAAGACTGGACAAGATCATCCACTGGCCCTGGCTTGTATGTAACTTTTAAAATCCTTAAACTTCTTTTTCATTATAAGAGTAATTCATACTCACTTTAGAAAGCTTGGAAAAGACAGACAAGCAGGAGTAATAGCTTAATAATCACCCATAATCCCACCATCTGGAGATAACATGATTAGTGTTTTTTATGTCCATGTTTTATACAAACAGTTGGAATATAACTATGTGTATCATTTTGTATCCTGACTTTTTTTGTTTTAATGTTGTATCATAAACATTTAATGTTAATAAAAGTTCTTTATAAACATAACTTCTAAAGTTTAATTGATGCAAAATATTCTTCAGGTGCATGTATCAAACCATCCTCTTATTTCTAAAATACCATATTTCCATTGTTGCCAGTGTTGAATGATTTTAAATCATGCTGCAGTGTACATGTTTATGCATTAAAAATCTTTGCCTTTTTTTTTTTTTTTTTTTTTTTTTTTGGTTGTTTTCTTAGGAAATAGTCCAGAAAAAGTGTTACTGGGCTAGAGGTTGGGAACTGTTTGAGATTCCTATATACATATACTGCAGTGCCAGCTTGCTTTTCCAAAAGTTATACTTTGGGAGGCCAAGGTGAGCGGATCACTTGAGCTTAGGAGTTTGAGACCAGCCTGTGCAATGTAGCGAGACCCTGTCTCAGAAAAGAAACAGCAGCAAAACAAAACACAAAACGCCATACCCATTTACTATCTTACTGGTGGTGGCATCTATGTCATATTTCTAAACTGTGACTTCAGTTACTGGGCATTTGGTTGAAATTAACTATGAATAAATGGGCAGATGGATGGAGAGATAGAAAGATAAGTGGCAAGGTAGAAATTAGAGAACACAGTATAGTTTCCACTATTAAACGCATGGAAAAAAGATTGAGACCAAAGGCAGAAGAGTTCCATTGCCACTGGGACGTGAAGTCATGCTAGTGTTTTTTATTTCTGTTTTAATTTCTTTTTTGTTTGATGTATACTTTTACATACAAGATATTTTATGTATTAAATATAGTTACCTTTAAAAAGTAAAAAGTATAGTAAAAAATTGGGAAAAGAGAAGAAATGAAGGGAAGCTAAATACACTCCATACTTAAAGATGAGATTAATCTCTTCTGCCCAAAGTCTTTGATAAAACATTCATAATCAAAAATGTCATTAGGTTCAAAACTGTTTCTGTTGTTATATGGAGGAAACATATCCAAAAAAGACCAAATTTTTAGTATAAGAAAATGTCAAATGATAGGTAATTTTGAATGCTTTCCACAAATGAGAAGAAAGATTTTTTTTCTACCCTTAATCCTGTGTAGGTTGCAGTGAATGAAGCAGTCTGAATACATGTTTCCCATAGTGAGCAAGAGAGAACAAGTAAGGCTATTGAGATCTAACATTTCACCCATGAAGGGAACTTCAGTAAAAAGGAGAATCTCATCACAGAAGGGGGAAGGGGGAAGAAAGGCTGTGCATAGGCTCTGCAGCAAAGCCTAAAATCAACAACTCCAAGCTGGTCAGGAGGAGTAAAATTCCTATGTCAACTCAAATCTAGAACTAAAAGAAAATGTAAAACTGTTAGAAAAAAAATAGGACAGAATCTTTGGGGTTTGCAATTAGGCAAAGAGTCTTAGAAATGGCACTGATAATATGGTCCATATGAGAAAGAAATCATAAATTTGGACTTCCTCAAAACTGAAATGAAGACAGACCACAGACTGGAAGAAAATATTTGCAAAGCACACATCAAAACATTGACTTGCACCCAGAACATACAGAGAACTCTTAAAAACTCAAAAATGCAAAAAGAAACACCTAATTTAAAAATTGGCAAAAGACTTGACAATTTGCAAAGGGGATATGTGCATGGTGAGAAAACACAGGAAAAGATGCGCAACATCATTACCGGTTGGGGAAGGCAAACTACAACCGGGATGAGAGCCCAAAACACATGGCTTCCGAATGGTGAAACTCAACAGCACCTACAAAGCCACGTGCCCGGGAGGATGCAGAGGAACTGGGACACTCCGACGTTACCGGCGGGAAGGGAGAACGGTACAGGCACTGTGGAAAACGGTTTGGCAGTTTCTGATGCGTTAAAAGTGCACTTGCCATGGGAGCCGGCTGCCCCATTCCTAGGTATTTACCCTAGAGAAGTGAAAGGGCACAGCCAGGTAGAAACCCACACTCTAGTGTTTGCAGTGGCCTTGTTTGTGATAGCCAAGGGCTGGAAACCACCCTCAGCAGAGGGTCGCATAAGCAAACTGTAGGCATGCATACAGTGGAATACCACTCAGCAGCGAGAGGGTCCACCTGTGGATGCGGGGAACAATTTGGATGAATCTCAGACACATTAGGTTGATGGCGGGGAGCCAGTCTCAACGGGCTACTTGCCTTGTGATGCCATCTACATAAAGTTCCAGCAGAGAAAAAAGGACAGTGACGGAGAACAGATCAGTGGTTGCCGGGGCTAAGGGTGGGATGGTGTGACAGCGAAGGGACAGCCCGAGAGAGTTTTACAGGGTGACAGACGTCTTCTGCGTCCTGCCTGTGGCTGTGCGAATCTACACTTGCGTGAAGACTCGGGGATCACCACACCAAAGGAAGACAGTCACTTTTCCTACTGTATGTTAGATAATTAATAAAAAGGGAGAAGGGAGAAGTGTCGTCCCAGGGGACCGGACAGGAGGGCGAAGACATGTCTGTCACAGGGGAGCCTGGCCAAGTGACGCTCCCAGAACTCATCTTCTGGGCCTGCGTGTGGATGACACAAGCTCTACCGCCTGGTACGATAGCAACATATTCGGAATGTGACCTTGCCGTGGAGGCGGGGACCCGGCAGCGTTACGTATCCAGCGTCAACCTGCCAAGTTCACTAACTTGGTAGGGGTGAGAGTACGGGTCCTTAGGAGCCCAGGCAGCCACACTTTCTGGGGAGCCCATTCCCATTTGTGTTGCCAAAGTACCCCCAGCAGGGTGTGGGAAGGTTGCCGGTGAAGAGAGTCTGTTGGGGTGAGATCTTGTGTGTGTGCACAGGGTGACAGCTGTGTCCCATTCCCTGGGAAGCTGTGATGCCAGCGGGGCCTGGGGGAGCCTGAGTGAGTGTGGGAGGGCAAGCCTCTGGAAGAGCAAAGGCTGCGGAGCCAGATGCCGGACTGTCTGTCACTCAAAGGAAGAGGGACTGATGTCACCACTGAGCGTTTGTGTCCCCTGGTGGCGGCAAGCCCTACAGTGGGCACACACCATAACTTTTCTGTCCCGTGCGGTCCTGGCAGCAGGCCTGGGAGGTGGAACTGCCCTTACTCAGCCTGCGGGTGGGACCGTCTTAACTGGAGAGGTGCCAAAGATGCCTTCCATCAGAGGCCGGGGCGGATGTGCTAAAGAGACGATTTCTCTCGCCCTCCCCGCAGGTTGTGTGTGTCCCGCTGTGGATTCTCATGTCCTTTCTGTGCCTGGTGGTCCTCTACTACATCGTGTGGTCCGTCTTGTTCTTGCGCTCTATGGATGTGATTGCCGAGCAGCGCAGGACACACATAACCATGGCCCTGAGCTGGATGACCATTGTGGTGCCTCTTCTTACGTTTGAGGTAAGCATTCCGCGGGAAGCCTCTTCGGCCCGTGGAGCTCGTGCTTCCCCTGACAGGATCCTGCACCCCTAGAAAGGCAGCCTCTGTCCCTCGAGCTCACAGTGTCACAGTGAGCCGACTCCAGGAGAGGGGAGAGAACAGGGCCGTCTCTGGGAGGGAGCTTTAGTGAAAGGAGAACATCCTTCCTTTCTCTTGGGGAGAGCGCACCTTTTTAGCCATGCTGCCTCTGTAAGGCTCCAGTTTCCACTTTTGGAAAAGGAAAGGTGGATGTCGGATTTGTGTATTGGAGTCGTGTGGAGAATTCTAGAATGGGAGCTGTTGACTCCTTAGAACAAACACCGGGAGGAGTTTGCCATAAAACTGCTGGTATTGGGAGCTTTTCAAGTGGATGCGCTTTTGCTGAGCTCTGAAGAGGGGCGTAAAAGCTCACTTAGAGCATTCCCCAAGGATAGGTGGTTTTCTGCCTTTTCCTGTGGTGCTGACATTCCCTCTTCTGACAGCTCACTGTGGCGGGGCCCTGCGAGGCGGGTTGGGGGAGGGGAGCTGCCTAATGAGGTCTGGCTTCCTCCTCTGTCTGTTCTTGGTGCTGGCGTCCACAGGGCCTTGACTGCGTCTCTTTCTTTAGATTCTGCTGGTTCACAAACTGGATGGCCACAACGCCTTCTCCTGCATCCCGATTTTCGTCCCCCTTTGGCTCTCATTGATCACGCTGATGGCAACCACATTTGGACAGAAGGGAGGAAACCACTGTATGTACTCAGCACTTCTGAAAGTCCTTGGAGTGTGTCTGGGGTGGGACCGCGGGTAGGTGGGAGATAGCGGTCTCTAGGAAGGGATGAGTCCCCCAGGGTCCCAATTTAGAAGCTTGTGTGGGAAGCGAGGGCTGAGGAAGTTCTGGGACCTTCCAAGGGCAGGGCATGCCATCACCATGGTGTTCTACTGGCCTGCACTGGGACTTTTCTCGCAGTGCACGCTGCCAGTAGGTAGGACCAGACAAGGCAGGCAACCTCTCAGAGAGCCTATTCTCTCCTCTGCAAACTAGGGATCAAGATAGATTCTTCCCAGGCCCGTGAGGGTTTGATGGGAAATCCGTATCTCCCACCCGAACCCTGGGATTCATCCTAGCTCTGCGTTGGCCCCTCTGCCTCCCCAGTGTCCTTGCTGCCATCACCCGAGTCTTGTCTCTCGTGCCTTGCTAGCTCCCTCTTCCCCTCCACCTGCTTGCTGAGGCAGACACTTCCAAAATGATCTCTGCAGAGGGTACCTTCCTGGTGAGGCTGTGAGCTCCATGGCATGGAAGCCCAGAGCACCGGCCTTCCAAAAGCCAGTGGGGTTGGAGGCAGGGCCTCACTGCAGTCCAGCAGCCCAGGCTATGCTTGCTGCTTGTGCCTCTGCCCTCCCGGGAGTAGGGAGGGCCTGCACCGAGCTGACACTCCAGTGGTGTACAGAGAGGAAGAGTGGGACTGGGCAAGTGGCTTTAAGGTGGCTCCATGAGTTCGGGCCCCCTCCTGGCCAGGATCCACGCATGACTGCCACCCTGGCGGATTCTAGAGGGTGACGGAAACCCTTTGCTTGGATGGCACTGTCATCCATGAGTTTTTCCTGAGTGGACAAGATTAGTGGAAGACACCATGGCCTACGCACCACAGGTGTTTCGAGACTCACTGGAGCAGTGGTTCTCAAACTTGGGTGCCCAGCAGAATCCCAAAAGGGTCAGGAAAAGGGGACCTCTGGAGCCCACCCTAGCCCGACTCACAGTTTCCAGAGAGAGGTCTGGGCTGAGGCCCGAGAATGGCATCCCTAACAAGGCCCCAGGGATGCTGTCCCTGCTGGTTGGGGAGCCCCACTCAGAGAACCACGGCACTAGGGTTTGTTCTTCTCCTTCATTTTGAGTACTCAAGCCCTGTTCGGGCTTCGTGACTCAGGCGCCTGGATAAAGTGTGTGACGACGTTGTAGGAGTGAAACTTCTTGTTATGGAAAAGAAAGTTAACAGGAAGGTCAGTTGAGCCTAGTGTGTGAAATAAAACATTCTTATTTTTCAGGGTGGTTTGGTATTCGCAAAGATTTCTGTCAGTTTCTGCTTGAAATCTTCCCATTTCTACGAGAATACGGAAACATTTCGTACGATCTCCACCACGAAGATAATGAAGAAACTGAAGAGACCCCAGTTCCGGAGCCTCCTAAAATCGCTCCCATGTTTCGAAAGAAGGCCAGGGTGGTCATTACCCAGAGCCCTGGGAAGTACGTGCTCCCACCTCCCAAATTAAATATCGAAATGCCGGATTAGATGCCACTTCCGGGGACAGAGCTTAAGTGGACTGAGATGTGCTCTCTCCACCCTCCTCTGCCCCCTCGTTCACCCCGCAAAGCAGAACCAGAACTGGAGCCGGGTCTCCAGGTACGTCCATCTCATGCCTTGTTTGCATCCAGCGCCTGTCAGCCACTCACCACGACGGGATGCGGAAGTGGCAGGCGACAGGGGCGTGTGCCAGCAGATGTGGATGCCGGGAAGAGTGTGAGAACAGGCGCGGGATTTCCATCCGTCTGGGAGGGGCTCCAGGTGCTCCTCTTCCCTGTGGCACCCACCGGGGAATGGCTGCTCCCCAGGCCCTCAGAAGGAACGTCTGTTTACACGGTGCTGAAATCCCAATGAAAAGCATTGTTTAGAAATGCCTTTCTCCACAGGGCTGATCTCCTCCCACAGCTCACTCAGCACTCCCCGGTCGGTCGGGGCTGGCGTAGTCAGTAGGAACTGGAACCATGTCTCTGACGCACCACGTGTTTAGACACAGCACAGTCCTTTCTTCTGTTCCTACTGTGGAAGTACGGTAGTTTCTCTTTGGGCATGCTGACAGCAGTTTTTCATAGCCTCACCGATGAGCGCTTTCTACGGGAGTGACTCCATGCCTGTATGCAGAGTATTTATACAAATATGTTAGCATCGTGATATGCGGTGTTAACCCCTAGTTCTGTACAGCATATTCTGTCAAAGTATTTTTTTACAAGCTTGTGCTGCAGGCAGACGCCTTCTGCTGCAAAAGTGGATGCCCGTGGCACACCCGTCCCGCCCCAGCAGGGTGCCACACCCCCGCAGTACATTGCCACTTCTGCCCTGGAACTCATGCAGGTACGCAGTGGCTGCTACTGCCAGAACAGCAACGCCAAGCCGGAGATGCTCCATGCTGCTTCTGACCTTCTCGGAGCAGTGGCTAGCCGAAAACCCAACAAGCGCGACTTGAAGCCGGAGCACCGGAGAATGTTGCCGAGGGCAGAAACGGCCACGCGGGTCACGTCTGTGCGTGGGGAAGTGTCAAGCTTCGCTCCTGCCGGCAAGAAGAAGGCTTTGTGGTAGGCACGGTGGTTTCACGTGTGCGTGCAGTTTCTTCAAGCGCTGCAGGTTCCTCCATGCGTCAGAGGTTGCAAGTTTATCGTCCTCCTGCCTGAAAACAAATAGGTTCTTCGCTGAGAAGAGGTTTAAAAAGAGCATTAATCTTCTCACCCAGGAGAAGAGTGTGGCGTTTCAGTGCAGGCGACTGCTCATCAGCCTACATGGGGCTGAATTCAAGTCCGCTGTGAACACAACTCCGCCCCTGGCACTGGCCTCCAGCAAGCCTGTTCTCTTTGGGGTACGGGGGAACAGGATGGTTTAGACCTTCCAGCTCAGTGTGTAAAAAATGTAGCTAAAGCCAGTATTTTTGCTCTCTTAAGCTGTCCAATAAACCGGCTCCTCGTTTTACACGTGCACGATCTGTATCTTATTTGCTGGATGGCCCAGGAAACTGGGATGGTTCTCTCAGCCAGTCTCAGAGGAAGCAAATCTCTATCTGGCACAGGCAGCAGAGCGAGGCTGGCAACTGCAGGGGCACAGCCTTTAGAACGAGTCCTTCTTCAGTGCGCAGCTCTCAAGGGAATATGGGATGGAGGGAGGATGGAGGGGACACCACGGAGATGCCACTGTTGGCTGGGCTACGCAGTGCCACAATTGTTACCACTTAGGAGGCTTTCTGGAGTGTTCCTCGGGTGCTAAGAGACAGTCTGCAGCAGATACTGTCCTTATACTGCTCCCAGTCCTCGTTTGCTGCCCGGTCATGTCAACAGCTGAGGACTGCTCACGCTGCAACAAAAGGCCCTGCGATTTCTGACCCTAGGCTTCTGCCTGAACTGAAACTCAAGTGGAGTTCAGCTCATGACTTGCGGCAGTTGACAAGGAAATCCACCTGTTGCTGTGGCCGGAAGGGTTTTCAGTCCTGTAGGCAGCCAGAGGCCACAGGTGGATTCTGTTTTAGGCTCATGAGATTTGGGACTTGCTATTCAAGAAAATGCCTATTGAAGCGACAACAGTAGCTATGACCCAACTGCCGGGTGCCTTGCTAGCTCCTATACGTCCCACAGGATCCTCACAGCCCCTGGAAGAGGTGCTACTACTCTTATCCCCGGGAGGAAACGGAGGCTGAGCGAGGTTAAGTGATGACATGCCCAAATCACACAGCTCGGCAGTGGCCAGGCCGAGACACCAGCATTGGCAGTCTGCTTGCAGGACCCTCACTGTCATCCCCTGAGCCAGAGCGTCTTGGGCCCTGGGGTCAGGATGTCTCGAGTGTGGAGGCATCACCGGTTGGTGACAGTCTCTCGAAGATCACTGAGCTCTGTGCCCACAATCGAGTGAAGGGAGTCTGTGGAGGGGTGGCCCTGTGTGTGTGGACAGTGTGTTACACAGACACTGCTTCGGATGGACGCCTCTCCCGTGACCTCCTAGCGTCACATCCCAAAGGAACCACTGTTGCGGAGGTGGACCGCTGGGTACAAACCCGTGTGCATTTCTCTGGAGACACTGGCCAAGGAAAATGACACATGCTCGAAGGCCAACAGCCACATGCCCTGCCACGATGTGACTGCAAAGACCCGGGGTGTAGAAGGGTGTCTCTGCTTGGTGGGGGTACATGTGCAGGCCAAGGAAAAGCAGGAAGAAGTCCGCCTCCGACTGCCCACCGGACTGCGCGGCAGCAGTGGGTGGTGGGACAGTCAGCTAAGCCATTTGCCTAAGTGGCCATTGGCCATCTGCGTCCTGGGGACCGACAGCGTGGGTGTGTTCGGAGGACCTTTATGGAGCACATTGCTGCCTCTGGCTAGGACAGGGTGGAAAGGGTGGCGTGCCTACAGCCTGGCCCAAGGGCACCGTCCTACCCTTGGTTCTGTGCTTCAACGGGTCAGTCATGTGCTGGGGTCTGTGGTCCCATGACTCACATGGTGAGCTCTGACCTTCCTGAGTCAGGGCTTTGCTGTGGTTCTGCCTGGCCCCAGGAGTTCTAGGACAAGGGGACCGCTCCAGGTCTGCACCTAAGGTGTGGCAGGGCCCCTCGACACTCCTGTGCGCTGGTGTCCTCCTTCCCTTTGAGGACCAGAATCTGCACACGCAGATGGGCAGCTACTTGTCTGCCTTGGCCCTTTATTAGATAACTTGCTGGGCGTGTGGTGATGTCACCCCCAGGCAGTCTGAGCCCCTTTGTGATGTCCTGGGGCTGGCTGCCTGACTCCCAAGGGGTGCCGCTGGCCACACTGCACTAGCATGTTTGCCAGATGGAGAACAAGCCTTCGTTGAGTATGGCTCGCTCTAAAGAAAGGAATCCGAGAGGACAGGGACACAGCTCGGAAAGGGAGCCTTTTCCTCCCCGATCGGACTCAGAGATCTGCCATCACCCAGCAGATCCTTCCAGTGCCTGGGACTACCCGGTGTCTCCCGGGAGCCCTGACTTGAGGATGCTGATGGAAGAAATAGCTTTCCAGTCTCTGGCCGAGGAGGCTTCCTTGAGAAGGCCACGCCCCGGCGGTGACGTCTCGCCCCAGGGAGAAGATAATCTCCTCTCCCTCCCCTTTCCGAAGAAACTGTGGAGACTGGTCAACAGCAATCAGTTTTCTTCCATCTGGTGGGATGACGGTGGGACTTGTCTAGGGATCAATCAAAAACTCTTTCAAAAGGAGATTCTCGAAAGGGACATCCGGGACAAAGTTTTTGCCACGGACTCGCTAAGGAGCTTCCTTCGCCAGCTGAACTTGTATGGCTTCCGAAAACTGCGTCAACGCACTTTCAGGACCCTCACCGACATTTTCCCCGCACAGCGGCCAGTCTCCATCTTGAACAAGGTAACGAACGACAAGCCTCCGCGGGGGCTGAGTCAGTGGGCTCTGGGGCCTGTGTGGGTGGAAGCCCCAGGACTGCCTCCTGGGAAGTGGGCGACCTCGAGCGGGGTGCGTGGGGCCATCAATGTGGTCCTGTGTCCCCCGCTGGGTGGTGGTGACATGAACCAAGAGTGAATGTGAGCAGAGGGCTGAGGATGGTGCCGGCCCCTCTGGAGTGGATAAAATATCACAGGTGCTAAGTAGCCGTATCTGCATGTCCCCCTACCCGGGGCCAGTCGTGTCATCTGGTGGTTGCTGTACTCCCCTGACTCCATAGCACTTTACCCTGTGAAGTGAGCAGGCGGCGGGGAGTCTGGTATTTGTACCACTATCCCCCTGGCTGGTGTCCGGAGAAGTGCCCAAGCTGAAGCGCTGAAGGGTGCCCGTTGCAGAGGGTGCACAGGCTCCTGCTGCCCTTGGTAGGTGGGCCCCTGGTGTGGAAGAGTCAGTATCCGGGTACTCCAGCCCAGCTGGGGTGCATTCTGTTACCAGCTGACATTGCGTGCGGGAGGCCCAGAATCATCTTCCCTCCGGGTCTGCAACTTCGAAGACCCTTTCCGCTGGCCGTGGACACCCTAATTTGTCATTTTGAGGCTTCTTCCAAGACGGAAATGCCCGTCACAAATTGGTAAACCTTGACGACGTGAACACGAGTCCCCCAGCTTCTTTTGGGGACCGGGACGTTTTCCAGAAGGGCTCCCGGGCCAGTAGAGTTCTCTTGCACGGGGCCGTAGATGCTTGGTGGTTGCCGTCCATCCTTGTGACTTGCAGTTTCCTTTTCTTTATTTAAACTTTGACTTGCAGTTACAGTTCTACTGCCATCCCTACTTTCAAAGAGACTCCCCTCACCTCCTCGTGAGGATGAAGAGAAGAGTGGGCGTCAAGTCTGCACCAAGACAGGGGGAGGAGGGCCAGCCAGGAGCTGCGGAATCCCGTCTGGCACCAGCAGGCACCGAGCAACAAGATCACACATCTCCGAGTGAGGATGAGCAGGTCACACCACAGCACCAGGACCCGGCCGGTCCCAGCAGCCAAATCAGGAGTGGCTCTGCTCCACCAGCAACTGCTGTGACGGCACCCCATCCCGCCGTGGCGGGTGACAACGCTCCGCTGGCCCAGCCAGCCGGCGAGTGGTCGGAGGGCAGCCGGGCTGACGTGGCTCCGGTGGCAGCTGTCCCTGGGCCTGCGGCGCTGCCCTTCCTCTGTTTCCCCGGATCTCCCACCCAGGTGAATTCCGACGGGCCTGTGGCGGCCCTTCCCCCAGCGCCCCCCGGGACCCTTGCCTTGGAGACCACAAGACACCCTGCGCCTGGCATGCCGCCCTTTTGCCGTCTCTGGGTGCCGTTGCCCCTAGTGGCTGCTGTGGCTGCACAGTCTGCTGCCTTCATGGCCATGTTCCCCCATCCCCCAGCTCTGCCCCACCATTGCCCCGACTGCCACCACATGTCACAGTGCACGCCAGCTAGCCATGTGCTCCAGGCGTACCCAGACGACGCAGACCACCACACATAGAGGCGAGCATTTGGGCAGAACATGTGCTGGTCAATAAACGTGTCAGGAAATGGGTAATTTTCTGACTGCACAAAAAAGCCTTCACGGTCTCCGTCCTTTTTCTTTCTTTGCAGTCGAGTACTCCCCTCCGACATCTTTTGCCTGCATGGTAGAGACCGATGTAATACCCCTTCCTGGGAAAACGCCCCGGAGATATGCAGCAGGTGCTGGGTTTTAGGAAGCCCCTCAGACGCCCTGCCTCCGCTCATTAAAAATTACCTGGAGCCGCCCGCTGAGTGCCATTGTGGTGCTGGCATTGCCCGCCGAGGGTTCACAAATGACACTGTGTCGCTGGCCGTTCCTTGTCGTAGCGGTGCCTTTATGTGACAGGGCCTTCACCTACCTACAGATGAGAAGAGATCACGTCTGGCTTTGTCACTGGGTTAAACAGTGCCCTTGTTAGTTGTGGAGCTGACAGTTACTACCAAGGAGTCCTAAGGGTTTGCACTTTAGAGGCTGCTCATTAGCGTCTCGTTGACAGGATTTACGTTTGGCTTTTATATCTGTACTGGATCCGGTGGGTTTTTTTACTTCCTTCCTTGATATCCCCACCACGCCCCCACCTTTTCGTTCTTTCTCTTTCTCTTTGTCTCTTTCCCTCCCTCCTCCCTCCCTCCCTTCCATCCTTCTCTTTCTTTCTTTTGGAGCCCAAAATGTAAAATACATCATGTTTTAACTTAGGAAGCAGCCTTTTCTGATCACTTGAGGTGTTGAACTTAGAACACACGCCGTCACTGGCAAGCCTCTTTGACTGTATGATCAGAGAAAATAGGTTCAAGTTCTTACCGTAGACACAACTGGGCACAGACGTCAAAAGATCTCCGAAATCAGGGCGTGCAGAGAGCCCCAACACCCACAGGCCAGAACCCAGAGGTATCCCTGTCCGTGATTTTTAATTGGATAGTAGTAGGTGGCAGAGTCCTGCGAGAAGTGGGAGGAGGCTATAAGGGAATGCAGACATGGGAATGGATTAATCCAGAGTCCAGGCATGGTCCGCAGGTGGATCTCCCTGTCTTGGCCTGCTCACTTACAAATGGGTGCTCGTTTACAAACGGGTGCGAATCACATTTCATCACTTGTGAGCTCCTTAGCTTCCAAGTAGCACAGTTTTCTCATGTGTTTCTTGGACATGCCTCCTTTATACACATGAATCATGCAAAGATGCTGCTACTTAAAAACCTCTCCTACAAACTTACGCCCCTGCGATCCTGGCTTCCCTGTAAATCTATATAGAGAGAGATGCAGATTTGCAAAATGTGGTATCGACTTATTTGCTTTAGAAGAAAAGCCTGGAGATGTTGTTGGTTGTCACGACTAGGGATGGTGCTCCTGGCATCAAATAGGTAGAAAGAATCCAAGGATGCCGCTAACCCAGACCAAACTATGCCCAGACCAAACCCCCACACGCCTCCCCCCACCGCCATGCAAAGAATGGGCCAGCCGCAAAGGTCAACACTGCCATCCATGGGAGAGAGACCCTGCCTGTGCATGCAAGAACATAACCTGCATCCTTCCTCTCTCAGCCTTTCTCCCCGGCCTCCCACGAGGACTCGATTTCCAAGGCAGGGCTGAGAGAAAACAATTCCTTCTCTTCCCTCCCAAATAGCAACAGCACTCTAGACGTTCAGGTAAATATGATGATGAAACAAGGTAAACCTGATGGTTCAGGTAATCGTGATGATAGAATCAGGGCCACTCATAGGAACTTTGCCCCAGAGAGGCAATTGGCTCTTGAGGATACCTGATGACAGTATCTGAACGTTTGGAAGACTCAACAGCTCTCACCAAGCAGTGAAATTGCAGGTGGCAAAGAATCCTTGCAGTTACTTTGTTCTTGGCTACATTCCTTGTATTTAAATCCTAAGTTTCTTCCTTTAAGTTCTCCGTTCTCTGGGTAAGTTTTAAAAACCCGGTTAACAGTAAAGCGGTGCCAAGCATTTGGACCAAACCTGGCTTGGCGTGGTGTCGTGACTGACCCTCCTGGCTACTTCAGTGAGTGAGCTCTCCTTCCTTGGAAGAAAACAACGCTGGGCTTGCTGTGAACCGTCGTGGGGATAGGAATCAAAGATCTGCCAACTGCCAGGCTGGCCTGGTTGTGGCTCATAGCCTGAGTCTTTTTCAGACGCCCCATTCCCCAAAATACAACCAGGTTCTTTGGCATGCGGACAAGGTGCAGAGCCTGGGCCCAGGTTCCCAGCATTCAGCAGGCGGGAAAACCTCCAAAACTGAGCTTGGGAGGAAAGGAAGGTCCCGTACTGCCAGTGAGACACCCCACCATACAGACCAGGCCCTGGAATCGGGAGCAGCGAGCCGTGCCCCCTGGGGCCCTGGAAATGCCCTCACCCGTGAGTCCCTTCCCTGCGGGAACCATCCCGGCCTGAGCTGCTCTCGGGGACGCAACTTCTCCGCCACCTCTGTCCTCCGTGTTGGTGCTGGGATTTGGCAAAGGGAGCTGGGGGCCGGCCATTGCAGGGAGGAGCTCTCACAGGTGGAGCTGGAACCTGGGTGAGTCACACTGAGTCACATTCCTAGCCTCACAGGAACCTCTAAGGGCAGGCACAGGGCAGCCATGGACCCACCTCCTACCTCCCCTCCTCCAGGTGAACAGCCAGAACAAATGGGGACTTGGAACCGAACTAGCCACATGTTCTTTAATCCCCATGAGAAAACCTCAGGGATTTTGCACAAAAGATGCCCTTCAGGACACTCGGGAGGAAATCACTGGGGGCAGTGGGGGAACTCTCTCCTTTTCCTAACTGTAGTTTGACCCAGAGATCAACCAGAGTGTTCAAGGCAGTGTCCACTGTGTGCCTGTTGACTCTTGCAAACCTAAAAGCCCCACACACCCACCCTCATTCCGACGACCTTTCTCAACATTAGAGACTCCACCTTCTTGCTTTACTGAGTGTAAGGCGCACAAGTGAGGCATCAGCTCACCAGGGTGACAAGAAGGTGAAGTACTTAACCGGAGGACAAAGGCAGCAGACTAAGCAGGAGTGCCGACTTCTGGATAAATGTGAGAAGGTGGCTGATGTGGCTTGTTGGGTTTGTGGGGCACTCAGGCTTGTGGGGCAGTCGGGCTTTGGGGACACTCAGTTGTGTGGGGCAGTTGGGTTTCAGGATCGCGAGGGCTTCTGGGGTAGTCGGGCTTAAGGGGCACTTGGGCTTGGGGGGCACTTACGCTTGGGTGGCAGTCAGAGACCTGTGGGGCAGTCAGTCTTGCGGGGACGTGGGGTTTCTGGAGCACTGGGGCTGGTGGGGAAGTCAGTCTTCTGGGGCACTTGGTCTTGTGGAGCAGTGGGGCTTATGAGGCCTACAGGCTTGTGGGACATTAGGGCTATGGAGGACTCGGGCTTAGTGGGGAAGCTGGCTTCCGGAGCACTCGTGCTTGTAGGGCATTGGGCTTCTGGGGCACTCTGGCTTCTAGAGCATTAGATCTTGTGGGGAAGTGGGGCTTCTGGAGGACTAGGGCTTGTGGGGCAGTCAGGCTTGTGGGGCACTCGGGCTTGTGGGGCAGTGGGGCTTGTGGGGAAGTTGAGGTTCTGGAGCACTACGGCTTGAGGTATAGACAGGCTTGTGGGGATGTCGGGCTTTGGGGACAGTCAGGATTTGGGGGCATTCGGGCTTCTGGAGCACTAGGGCTTGTGGGGTCATCAGGATTGTGGGGAACTCAGGCGTGTGGGGCACTGGAGTTTGTTGGTCACTTGGGCTTGGGGGGCAGTCGGGATTGGGGGGCCGCTGTCCTTCTGTGGCACTGGGGCTTGTGGGGTTGCTGGGTTCGTGGGGCAGTCAGGCTTTGGGGGCACTCAGGCTTTTAGGCCATTTGGGCTTCTGGTCTGGGGCACTAGGGCTTGTGGGGAAGTCAGGCTTCTGAAGTAGTAGGGATTGTGGGGCATTCGGCCTTTTGGGGCAATTGGGCTTGTGAGAAAATCGGGGTTTGTGGGGTAGTCGAGCTTGGGGAGCACTTGAGCTTTTTGGGCAGTTGGGATTGTGGAACACTAGGGCCGGTGGGGCATTCAGGCTGGTGCGGCACATGGGCTTGCAGGGCAGCCTGGCTTGTGGAGAACGTGGGCTTGTGGGGCAGGCGAGCTTCTGGACCACTAGGGATTTGGGGGCACCCTGACTTGTGGGGCAGTCATGCTTCTGGTAGGATTTGTGAGGTAGTCGGGCTTGGAGGGAAGTCGGACTTGTGGGGCAACTATTGCTATTGTGCTATCTTAAAACCCACCAGAAGGGCAGAATAAAAGCTTAATTCTGTCTTTGGAGTGCCAGTACTGAGAGTAAGGAGCGCTTGCCCTAGTACTTCTAATGGGATCCAAGAGTCATTTTTTAAAATGAAAAGCCTTCCAGATTTTAAAAATTTTAGATTTACAGAATTAGTACAGATGTAATACAGAGAATTTCCACACACTTCACACCCAGTTTTCTCATTATTAGCATTTTACATTACCCTGCACATTTGTCCCCAGTAATGAGTCAATATTGATGCAATGTTATTAGCTAATGGACATACTTTTTTCAGTTGTCCTTAGTTATACTGAATTTTCTTTTCCTGTTTCAAGATCCCACCCAGGATACTTCATTACCTTTGGTAGTCATGTCTCCTTAGTCTTGTCTTTGTTGTGACAATTCCTGAGACTTTTCTTATTTTTGATGATCTTAACATTTTGAAGAGTATCCGTCAGCTATTTTGCATAAAGCCCATGTCCCGGGACTTGTCTTTTCTTTTTCTCATGATCGGAATGGCAATGTGAGCTTTCAGAGGAAGATTTCATAGGTAAAATGCCATCCTCGTTACATCACATGAAAGGAACATACTAAATACATGACTTCTCATGGTTGATATTAGCTTTGATGTACTTGCTCTGGATAGCTACAGTAATCAAGTAGGCACAGTATTTGCAAATGAATAGACACACATCAATGAAACAAAATAGACCCCAGAAAAAGACCCACACAAGTGTAGTCTACTGATTTTTGACAAAGGCGCAAATGCAATTCTATGGAGAAATGGTAGTCTTTTCATCAGATGGCACCT